ATAAAATATCTGGGTAATAAAAGAGTTACTCCAGTTCATTAAGAGACTCAAACCAAAATGTGACAAGCCCTTCATATCGTCCCGTAAGGTCACAGAGTAGTTCCTCGGGGCATACCAAAGACCTGCTCGCATCGTTTTCCCCCCCTCTCGCTCTCTCGTTGTCACTTTGAATCGAATGGGGAAGCTGGCGAAAGCAAAACAAAATGTCCTTGTGTTGTCTCCAAGGCGATAGTGCCTGCAGACTGTGGCTGCTGTCTGCTGCTGCTGGCTTTTCTCTTTTTTTCTCCTGTGCTCATCGCATGGAAAAGATATTTAAGTTTGCTCAAGGACACTTTCTTCTCTTTCATATGTGTGTGTGTGTGTGTGTGTGTGTGTGTGTGTGTGTGTGCAGGCATATTTAACATGCAGTATGTAGACAGGACATTCTGAAAAATAATTTGACGGTGGACTCAACGGGATCAAATGGAAGAATGGAATTACATTCCAGACGAGGTTCCCAGTGACTTTAAATTAACCTCATGCCGTGATGGTTATATCCTCCAGTCATATTTCTCATTCAGGGAGGTGGCACGATGAGTTTTATCATCACTATTCTAAAAGAAATAGTAAACTAAAGAGATCTTATGGCCTCTGACTTCGAGAAGCAGTTGGCGTTTTTCAGTTTTTTGGCAGTGTTTGTTGACAAAATATTCAGAAGGCTATTGCACACGACATAAAATTTGTCATTTCTCCATTTTCATTTGTGTACGCGGGTTTAGCGTCTAAGCAGAGTCGTGCAGCACAACATCCTTTATGCTTAAAGCGTGAATTTCACCCCATCGGCTACTTACTCGGAAAGATTTTCACAGATTCAACTTACGGCAGACAAATAGCTACAATCTCATTTTCAAAACAAGCTGTCCTCCGAAATGAATAACATTAGTCTGGGAGATGAGTGTGCCAGAACCATCTATAAGAAGTAACACCAAAAAGCTACTAACATAAAATATAGAGAGGTTGTATTTTGGGGGGTAATCTTTACCTTGGAAAGAAAGTCAGTGCATCACCTCCTTTTACGCTGTGTATAAAGAGAATAGTTTACAGGGGAAATCTGACCGAATCTCACAGTCGTGCAGTCTTTTAAATTAGTTGTCGTTATTTATTGATGACCTTTGAACCTCTTTTGCTATCAGTGCTAACACTCCTGTAGTGTTTTACTTACAAATCTATGTATGCATTAGAGGCCAGCTGATTTATCGGCAGATTGATGTTATTAAATCTGATCAAACATTAGCTATTCAGGCATTTGTAAAGGCCAGCACTGCAACTTTGCTGTTGGCAACTTGTATTTGGAGTGCGACAAACACAACACCTTGATTATCTAAGTCAGCAGTCCCCAACGTTTTTTGCGCCACTTAACGGTTTATGTCCGACAATATTTTCATGGACCGGCCTTTAAGGTGTCGCGGATAAATATAACAAAATAAAACCAGTACCGGTACCAGAAAAAAGAAGATTTATGCATAACACATGGGAAAAGACCCAGGGAAACTGAATTAACGATAAAAACAATTAAAAAAATAAAGATATAAAAACCGATAAAAAACATGAAAACCATAAATTTCACACCCGAGCATCAACTTTCGCGGCCCGGTACCAAACAGCCCGGGGGACCGCTAATCTAAGTAGTTGGGGAGAACGTAACCAGTAAATAAATAACCACATCTAGCAACTGTTTGGTAAATCTGTATTTGGTGTGGCTGAAATAAAAATTATAAATCAAATCAAATCAAATCACTTTTATTGTCACATCACATGTGCAGGCACACTGGCACAGCACATGCGAGTGAAATTCTTGTGTGCGAGCCCCACAAGCAACAGAGATGTGCAAACACAACAACACAAACGAGCAAAATGAAATATATAATATAATATATAATGAAAATATCATCCGATATCACCAAATATCTGTATCGTCTGAAAAATCCTATATCGTTCAGGGTCTAGTATGCATGCACGTTTTTGGAGGTGGTACAGAATATTCCTATTCCTTTTCCCAATTGCCTATTCAGTCTGGTTCTTACCAAGCAACGTGAGCCCAACATAACATTGGATAGCCTCCAGCACACCTGCGACCCTGAATGAGATAAGCAGAAAAATTAGATGAATGGAACAGCATAATTAAATCCTGCCATCACATACTTAATACCACTTTGTTTTCATGTGAGAACTGTACAGGCTTTTCAGGGTTTCGGCGCTAGCATCTAATGCTTTAAAGCATTAGCTATGTGTGTCTTTTATATACAGTCTATTACCAACAGGAGCTTTAGCCCTCTTGAGTGCACTAAAACAAATAATGGATCAATTTATTGCTGATTACATTCATTTTTTTTTTAATTCTAGCATGAGTCATACGAGGAAGAATGTACTCCTCTGTATATTTACTCAGCAAAGAATTACCTCATTATCCGTTTACAGTAGTGTGCTTACATTAGTCTGCATTTATAGGTGTCTAAGCAAAAAACACGCCCTCAGCAAAATCCCTCACGGTCACAATCACTTCAGTATCAGCATTCCTGACCAGTACAATCATCCCCTTATCCTAACAGGCCCCTCAGCACACCTGTTTAGCCACCAGCTTATCTTCGCCGGCGCACTGTGACCTTTGCTGACCCCCATATGAGCTGTGAATATCCATGATCAGATTCCCATCAGGTGCTCTAATGGTTTTTCTTTTACAACACGCAGTTTTAGCACCTCCAGCTGATTTCAGTTATCCTGAGATTGATTGTGCTTCCCCTTTTCCAGGGTTTGGCGTATCGTATACGAGGTCATTTCTTCTCAAATACAGATATGAATACGCGTAAATGAGTTATCTCATAAATAATGAAATAAATAGACTGGTGGTGCCCTTGAAGATATTTCTTCGTCCCATTTCCACGATGATCGCAGCTGAAGGCTGCTGCGGAGCAGATTGATGACGCCGGTTAATAGGGGATGTAGGATGTAAATGGGGATGTCTTGGTCGGCTGGTGGAAATGCTAAATAAGTATTTGAGCATTCGTGTGGTTTCTTTAAAGCCCTGTTGATGGGTGGCAGTGTCAGTTTATGATGCTGACGAGGGCTGGCGTGTGTGACTGTACATTTGTGCTGGGCTTATTTTAAGCGCTTGCACCCATATCCACTTCTGTGACAGCCTGCTGTTTGAAATGTTTGTGTTTCCCACTTACCACTGTTGTCTGCTACGTGCGCTAATTTGTGTTGTTTTTGTTTTTTCCTGCCTGCGATAGAAATTTGGAAGTTGTAAAAGCTGCATTATCGGGTAGTCGGGAGTAAATAGGCTCTGCGTGCCTTTAGTTCACATTGCAGCTCAATGAGGTTCTTGTTATAGTTCCGCTTTACTGATGGAGTGCCTCCACAGGAGTGTCCAAGGTACCTGCAGATCTTGAAAACACAACAAACTCTTTTGTTAGCGGGAGAAGACAAATACTCAATCAGTCTGGAACTCTCGCCGCGGCGGCAAACTATTTAATCAACCGTGGCTGTCGTCGAACGCTGTTAAGCGTTAAATGCATTGACTGCTGATAGAAGTCGGATGTCATTACAGCCTCCGGGGGCTTCTGCGTCCCCAACAGCGGCGCTAATTTATGCTGTCTTATTTTGCTCCTACCAAATTTACCATACAGAGAAATTGTCCGATTGTAAATTGAATCAGAGGGAATTGCGTTTCGAGGAGGATGGGAGGGAGTGAGGGGGTGTCTGTTATCTGAGCTCTCTGGGACGCGTGACGTCCATTACGTGTGCCAACCTAAAATCAACCCTCATTACATTTTGTTTTGCTCTCCTTTCATACAGAGATTAGTACCACTTGTCACTTCTGTCATCTTGATTGTATCTTTGCATTAGTCGGAAACGACAAATGTCACAAATTGCATTTTTTTTCTTTTTGCTGAGGTCCAAATTGTGTGGGTGTGTGTGAGAGAGAGAGGGAGAGCACTCTCATTTGTTTAAAGAGTCTACAGCAAGCTTTCTTCTTTCGAATCGCTTTCAGTAATAGGATCACGACATACAGAAATGTCAGGGTAGCAAAAATAGCACTGTATAAAGAATAATACAGATTATACATATTATTAAAATAGAGTAAAAAATATTCCATTGGGCATATTTTTGTAGACTAAAGCCAAGCTTTAGAAAATGCATTATGAAGCATGGCCTCCCCATGTGTCCTCTGACCTTCTCTGGCTTAATTGAGTCCACGCATTCATAAAAAGCCTGTAGCTAAATTAATTTGGGACCTCTATTTTCCAATCAGGGGCCCAAGGGAAAGCTTCTAAAAGGGACAGGATGGATGAGAAGATGGCGTGATTGATGACAGGGAGTCAAAGAGCGGTATGTGCTTTTGAGTAGGAGGAAGAGGATTACCGAGCCGGTGTGCGAGCACATCTCGGTGCACGCCGGTGTTATGATAGCCTTTGTCCCCCAACAGCTCAGGCAAACAGCGTCATTAGCAAAAACCTCCTGGAGTGTAACCGCAGGGAAGACTCGCATGCAGGAAACAGGTATTTCAGTTTGTCCCGGCTGACCTCGAAATAGCACGGAGCTACAAAACCCGGGTATTGACTCGCAGAGATATGCCCTCGTCAACAGCCGCATTTAGACTACACAGCTGGAAGTTTGTGTAGTGTGTGTAAGCTTAGCCGACGGGGGTCTAGAACTAGACCAAACGCACACCCGTGTAAGTCACACCTGCCAGTTCCAGTTGATCCTCTTTGAACTGTTTTCTTTCAACTGACACATGGAGAAGGAGGAAAGAATAAACCCACATGCATACACTCAGGCTTGGGTTTTTTTTCTACCTGCACCAAAATAAATTTTCTCTCAGCGACACAGACGGAGTAAAAAAAATTATTAAAAATTAAATTAAAAGCAAAATTATTTGCTTTCAAGTTTCTTAAATTTTTTTTTTACATTTGAATTCATCGGCTCACTTTGTCGTCCCCTTTCTCTTTGTCGTTTCCTAGAAACGTCCTCCTCGATAATGGTGTACATGGATACCACGACCACAACAACGAGGACCTCCACCAGACCTCCTGTTACCACGACAACCACGACATCCAGGACCACCACCACCAAGGTGCCCGCCACGACGCCTTTGGTGGTCCAGTCGCCACGAACCACATCGGCAGTGGTGGAGCCGTACCAGACGGTCTTGGAAGATTTGGAGCAAGAAGATGTCAACGCGGCCCCGGCCACCGCTAAGCTACCAAATCTTAGGGTGGAGTACTGCAGTCCACTGGTGATGATGGACGTGTCCTGGCCGAGGACGAAGCAGGGAACGTTAGCCAAGATGCCCTGTCCACCTGGATCATTAGGTATTTATATTTATTTATTTTGTCCTGTCTCACTTTACTGGCTGCAGCAGATGGATGTCTAGTTCTGCTTGAGGTTTCTTCCTGTTAAAGGAGGGTTTTTCTTTCCCACTGTCGCCAACTGCTTGCTCATTGAGGAGAATGTAATTGCTGGGCTAAAGCGCCTTGAGACGGCTGTTGTTGTGAATTGATACTGTACAGTTAAATAAAATTGTATTGAATTGAATTGAAGGAAAAGTTAGAGCAGGACTAAGACATGAGCATGTATGGATAGAGCCAGGAACATCTTGTTGCTAGGGGAAAGTGTATATTCCCTGACTAGCTAGCAAGTGGTTGCTGGACTTTGCTAGCTGTTGCTAGGTGAAAAAACGGTTGCAAAGAGGGTGCTGCACCAACACCCTGTTAGTGAGTGTTTGCAAACTAAATCAGCCACAAAGTAACCATGTGGATGGAGTGAAACTTGAAAAAGTTGTCTCATCACTGAAACCAACCAATTTCAAAAGGTGCAACTCTTATTTTGAAGGTGAACGACTCCTTTTCAAGTGGTTGCAGAGTTACTGCAGACAAGTTGCCAACTTTTATGCAAACAATGTGTGACTGCAGCAGTCTTATAGCAACCAAAGCAATCTCAAGGAGGTTTCAGTGCAGCATGCTACTTTGCAACTAATTTTTCTAGCAACCTCTGACAACCACTGTCAATACACATTTTTCCCCAGTTACTAGGTTACATGGGGTCAATGGCAGGTCTTTACACCTGAGTGGGGGCTAAGGTAGTGTATTATCGTCCCAATAAACTCAGAGATAAAAAAGTAGTAGCAGCAACTGTAATTACCCATGATATTCAATCTAGACTTCCATAACAAGCCTACCTACGCACAGATAAAATTGAACTTCACGGAAAGAAGGTTCTGGTCAGTGGCCGTCCGCTGCTCCGAGTACTTGGACATGGGTTAAATATAGAGAATTAGTTTCACTACAGGGATCAATAAAAAGATATCCTTCCAGGCTGAATTCCTTTACAGTTGCTCGGTACAAATAACATAAGTTATCCCGTGCAGTGTAGGTGATGACATTTTTAGTGCACTCACTTTTAAGGTCTTTCCCCGGAGAAGAGATTTAATTATCTGGTGAAGCTGTTGGCTTGTACGCTGTTTCTGTTGTTGTCGTTGTCATCTTTTCTGTTGTGGATGCTGTAGCATTTGGAACTATTCTCCCAGATCTCTTCATTTTCTTTGGTCAAAACCAGGAAAATAGGTTTGCACGTGCCTCACGCACCTCAGATGGGCGTATGATTTATTCATTGCGTTTCCTGCCGCTTACATAATGCCAGTGACATTACGTCAAATAACGACCTGCAGTTGACCTAATCACTCCCTGCAAATCTCAAAGATTCCCATGTTTAGAGCTGAAAGCGCTCTCCTGATGAGATACGCGGATGTGCTTTCTTTGCTTCTCGTCTGTGTGAGGATGTCAGCTCTCTCCTTAGGAGACACAGTCTACTGTGAGCCTCTTTGCCTTGATGTTGTCACCGTGTGTGTTTTGTTTATGTTTACACTCCCCCTGCAGCACTCATTCTCTCGCCTCCTGTCCTCCTAACTCACTCTCTCCTCCTGACTCACTGATGCACGGCTAAAGATAGCTTAGCATCGCATCTGTGTGGAAACTGGTAACCGGCACGGCGCACGGCCATATTTACTTCTTGTCTCTCAGGGCGCAATTCATGTAATTAATTAGCGGCTAAACACGTTTGCGTTCGGCTCTTTTGAAAGGGCTGCTGCGCTTCATTTGTCAGGCATCGGGCCTTTGTTTGTGCGTGTCTCGTTCGAGCCCCGTCGCCGTATCGATACTAAGAGAATGGAGGCCTGAGTACATCGAGATTAAATCAACGTTGGCCGGCTTTTGATATAAAAGCTTTACCTCAGGAAGTAAAAACTCGGGGGGAGCACTTCATATTTAAATGGAACCTGGCTATGATCAAATTATTTTTTAAGGCCAATCCTCTCGTAATACACGGATGAAGATTATAGTCCATCCATCCATTTTCCATCCAGAGTTCAGGGCCAATCTGTAGCAGGGCCAGATTATGGTAGGAGAAATTAAAGGGGTTCCCTACTACATTCATACAGTTGTTGCATCAGCAAAATAACTCAGTGTTAATAATAAATGATTAAAACATAAAACAAAAGCTGTCATGCTTTATTTTATACATAGTAGAGTGACATCATAGCCCCCAAATCCTGCTCGAATGCTGGAAAAAGTCTGTTCGTTTCATCAATCAGCACCGAGATTCAGGCCCACACATTTACATACAGTCTTCATTACTGGGTAACACCAGCACCCATCGAGACCTCACTAACAGGCATCACATGGCAAGATAAGAGGCACACATACCCCACCTCCTCTCAGCGCTACTCTTCAAAGCCATTGCACTTCAGACGGCACTGCCAAGCAATACACAACTGTGCGAGCTTCCTCTGCCACTCGTTGAAAGTTCCTCGAGCTCCTCTTCCATGTACCATCACTTCGCCCGCTGTCATCCCCCAGCATTCCTCCGACTCCCTCTTCTTTCTCCCTCTGTCTTTTATGCCCCTTTGCCTCTAAATATAGGCAGAAATACAGAGTCCCTTATCTTATAAACCCATCAAACGTACAGCTGTCCAAGGTGGACCGGGGAAGGAAATTATATGTCAGTCAAAAGTTCTATCTGTTAATACCGGCAGTCTCACCCTCCCTTTAAGTACAAGCAAGGGCGATTTAATGTCAGCGTGTAGCCGTGCTGATGTCAGCTATGAAAATATGGGAGCAAATTATTTGAGGCGCGCGGCAGAACGAGTCAACAAGCAAGCTGCATTTCTACATTTCTACCTCGATGCCATTTTGCAGTAACAGTGAGTTCAGCTGAAAGCGATGGTAGGTACAGCAGATTCAGAGGGGCTTAACAGACACTGGTCAGTTTCTGGATGTGTGTTTGTGCTAAAGTCAAAAATGGAGCGTTTTGCAAGGAGCTCACTCACCGGAGCACCTCTCTGTCAGCAGAGAGCCCGTCTTAATTGACCTTCCTGATGAATTCAAGCTAGGGCAGACTTAATTGGTACCTATTTTGGTGCGTTTTCTTGCGTATGCAGGAGCCGAGCTGTCACACACATGCAGACGCCGTCTGACTTTTAATGATTAAATACAGACGCCGCGTGGGCAACTCCAACTGGCCTCGAGTGAAGCAACTTCATTTCAGTCGCTATAAGATAAAGCTGTCCAATTACATTTTTCTAGATCCATTAATTTAATCACTTGAAGAGTACTACACAAAATATGGATAAAGTTGATTGTCTGAGCGTTTACAAACCCAATCTAGTAAATCTGACGCAGTTCTTCCCACAAAGCCTCTTAACTCTCCTCCCTATCTCTCGTTCGCTCTCTAGGTGTGGCCTCATACATGTGCATGGGCCCCGAAGGATACTGGGACTCCCAGGGGCCTGACTTTAGCAACTGTACCTCGCCTTGGGTCAACATCATCAGCCAAAAGGTAACAAAAGTATTGGAAAAGAAAGATGCACAGATTCACAGGGTATATAATTTAGTTCATGGACTGCTTTTGTGTGTGTGTTTGTTTTTCCTGATTAGCAATTATCACACATTTCTCTTTAGAATAAAATTGTGGGAAAAAGCTTGAAGATAGCCTGGAGGATTTGAGCTTAAATGTATTTGGATTTAGCTTGAACACAACGGCACCCTTTTACCTTATTCTGACGAACGTTCGCCGCACATCACAATGCACATCGGGGATGCGTACATCATTTGTACTCAGAGGACTTTAGTTTTTGTGTGGGGTTTTTTTTTCTCCTTTTGTCCTATTGTCTCTTCTTAATTGGTCCATTAATGTCATCGATTAGCCAAAGGCTTTACTCAATAGAAAGGTTATTCTTGTGCGTGCATGTGTTTGGCGTGAGTGGGTGGCTGGGTTGGGTTGGAGTGAAAACCAATACCACAGGATCATAGTGTAATAGCCTGCTGTGGGTAACAGCTAATGCAGACCGCTTTCTGTCTTACATGAACCGGCGGTTATTTGCATTCTATACTTCTCAAGTGCAAACGATTCGGATCTCCTCCTCTGCAGGCGATTTATTATGCAAAGCTCCATATTTATAAAGCTCCCGTTGTTAAAATCTGTAAGGGAATCAAATCTTAAAGGAGGGGAAGGTTACTGCAAGGGAGGATCAGGGTTCCAGGTTATGAATTGCAGGCAGTGCTGCAAATGTTCTCCCTTAAACTCATAGGACCCCGAGGCGTACATGTTATAACGCTTATGGTGTACTCGACGGCACAAAGCTCAGCCCATTAAACAAACGGCAGTTTGCGGATATGGATGGAGAACGCGGGCGGGCCCATTTCAGCAGTGCAATAAAGCTCAGCAACTGGCTGCTGTTTAGAGAAATTAACTACAGCAAAGCTTTTTCTGAACCTGCTGTGGCGGGCGGCTCACTTCAGGTCTAACAGGGTGACTCTAGTGTAGAGTAATGCCTGTTAAGTTCTACAGAAAGATGTGACAATCAAAATATGCACGCTTTTTTTAAACAAAGGTGTTATTAATCTTTTCTTATTTTTAAAACAAATCACACTCCGGCAGCGTGCCTGTCGGAGCAGAGACAGGAAGACTCTAATGAAGAGCAACCTGTCAGACAATTGGAATGCCCATCTGGCACTTCGTTATTTTATATCTAGGGCCATTGTCCTGTATGTGGCACTGCTCATTACCAGATGGTTTCTCAAAATGAGAAAGGAAGATATAAAGCACGAAAAGGAAAGGAAATGACACGAGACAAGCAGAAGGGAGAAAAAGAAAGCAGAGCTATTTACCTAGCATCCCCACATCCCCTCATTAAGAGACGAGAGCAGGGAGGGTAAAGAGGAAAACATCTTCCAAAGAAACATTCCTCTGCTTACACCTCTGTAAAGACCAATTTAAGCAGCCTAATTGGCTTCACTAATAAACTCACAGGCGATGATAGCAGGTAATGTCAGAGTAAATCAGGACGATCCTGTTTTAGATGATACCACCGCTGTTTTGGGGCTCATCTTACGACTCGATTAGTTCAATCTTTAAAGGGAACTGACCCAGAGCGTAAGACCCAGATATGTATTGGGCATTTAATCAACTCTAGATTTATTTACTGAGGCTACACAGTTTCCCATTGTAGTCATCGACATATGCAACATGCAGGGCTGTCTTATCGGTCACCATTGCTGTCAGGTAATTTCAAGCATTACTCATTAAAGTGATCTGTTTCTCAGTTACTGTGTGATTTATTTCTAAAAGAATGTGGCATTTATTTTATTTCTTTTTCATTTAAATCTCTGTCGTCAAAGCGTTTTGAACAAAAGCAGCGTTTTGTTGGCATCAGGGGAAACCTTTTCATATATTATTTGAAAAAATTCCTGTAACTGCTTTGTTTTTGTTTTAAATAATGTGCTCTTTGGGAACTTATTGAGGAAAGATTGTTGGTTTTGCTTTTTGGTGGAAACTCTGAGCTAAAATGAAAACTGTGGGTAGCAGTTTTAAGGTTACTTAGCTTACTAGCTAAGTAAGCTAGCTCTAGCTCATCTGTTGGTGTTTTAATATTTTTAATTTATGTTTCGCAAGCATACTATATTAGGTGATAGTGAAAAAACTCAGTTTTTACTCTTATTTTGATATTTGATATCTTTCACTGCATATAAAAAGTTAGTTTTACATTTTTGCTAATATGTTTCATCAGCAAAGGGATTCAAAACACAGCATCCAGTACTTATTTTGTTAAAGTTCCACAAATCAAACTTCAGCAATGATGAAATGCAAAGCTTTACGGACCTGCTTACTGTGCGAAACTCTCACTTCTTTGTATTTTGCTTCCGAGGAAGCTGAGGTTCTTGTCTTTAGCAAGTTTTTATTTGGACATTTGAAGCTTTTCACTTATTCTTAGTCCAGTCCTTACATGTGACAATTTTCAGAGCAATATTTCATTGTTTGTTAAGCCGATTAACACTAACTTGTGAATCTGTCAAGCACAAAAAAGCACCTAACTCAATAGATAAACCAGCGTTCTGTCTACACAGAGCAGAAAAAGTTGGTATTTTAGCCACTTTGCAACTATTAGCCTGCGACAAAACATAAAATTTGTTCCCACTGCTTTAATTTCTTCAGTTCTACTAAAAATTGCAAGAATAATATCGTTTGACGGGCATAAATTAGTGTTTGTGCCCCAACCAAGTGATTCCCCTTGGTATGGTGTAATTCCTGATGACTACTGTACTTAAAGAAATGACGGGAAAGCCTGAAACAGTTTGGGCTGTGTTAAAGAATACCATGTATTGACTTTCAGGCTTGTCAATTGCACAGTTTTTGTCTTATATATTTATATATCTACATGTATATTTGCATGTTTCAGTAAACCACTGCAGTCATGTTCCGTTATCTTAGCAAAATATAAAGAAACGGTGGTTGGCTCAAGACTTTCTCACAGTACTGTAAAGTAGCTAAGCTATGATTGAACGATGACATTTCATAGGAGGGCTTTAGAGAATGTCAGAAGCTTTAATTTTACAGTATGTATACATTTGGCTGAACTATTTCTGCAGTGAAAACTGGAAGTAATGTTTAAGATATGAAAGGTTCACTGTGCAAATAAAAAAAAGCAATAATTTTCATACAACAATAAAAGGGTGACGGTGAGAGTAATCGTTTTCCTTGTCAGATTCTAGCACATTCGCATAACTTGTTGAACTTCATATATTCAGCGCTGTGTATACACTGTTATCCCCAAGCTGCACTGCTCTCTATTAGTTTTTACAAAGGTGTAAGGCTTTCTTGGGAAATTCCCTCAATAGTCTCATAATTATGTCTGGATGCAATATTGGCTCCTAGTGTTCAGTCGGCTGAGGATCGTCTCACCACATTAATTGTGTGCGATATTGCAGCAGTTGCAGAAAAGGTTTAGGTTAAACGCCTTTTATTTTAGGGGGCATTATACATGAATACAGTAATTTGTCATGTTTTCTAGAGTGTTCTTTTTGAATGCCACAGCAGCAAAAAGCAAAGGACCTGGGGTTGTTTTGATTTGCCTTTAGTTATAGAGAAAAACATTCCGTACAAGCCAGCCGCCTCGTTTAAAAACTTCACAAATTCAGCTTTAACTGGATTGGCTGTCCCATTCCTTAGATAAAAGCCGGAGAGACGGCGGCGGTCATCGCCCGGGAGCTGGCAGAGCAAACCAAGAGCAATCTTCAGGCGGGGGACATCACCTACACGGTGAAGGCCATGGTTCAGCTGGTGGATCTGCTTGACGTGCAGCTGAGGAACCTCACACCAGGTGGCAAAGACAGTGCAGCACGGAGCCTCAATAAGGTATTGGAGGAAACTGGTTTACACATATTTATTTGAATGATTTGATTTGCTAGAGCTGCTTTTGTGTGTAAGCATCCATTAATTCCGACTGTTAAGTTTCCGATCTAGAGGCCTGCCTACCACAAGGCTTCAATCGGAACCCGACCAGTAGATATTCTTTTAATTATCTGCCGCTTGGCTCTGTGCTGTTGAGTAAAATGATATTCCCCGTTTTTCCCTGTAGTCTGCCTCATAATAAAAACCGACTTTCAATTTCGAGCACTTCTCTTACACTAAGTGCAATCAATTTTTACACTGACGCAGTTTTAAAAGTTGCCGTCCAGGTGCCAACATTTGCCCCGCTTGTGTTTTTTGTTTTTGCTAATGCGACGGGGTAAGATTCCAGCGGGCTGGATGCGAGCGGTGGGGGGTGCAGAGCGTTTCATATTCGCTGAACTTGAATCTAATGTATTTATTACCCAATTCACAGCAGAGCACAGTAAGGGGCACTCAGGCAGAGAGAGCTAAAATAATACTTTCTATCTGCTGAGCGGCCAACAGAAAAGCAAACATCAGTGAAATTCAAAATGTCAATCGTTAATTTCCTGGAGCGGCATCACTTGTAGACGAACTCGAACACCTGTTCTCGGATTGCTTTTTTGGGACTGTTTTTTATTTCATTGCTGCAACAGACACAGATGTCCCTATTGAGGTTTTAGTGCCAGTTTTCTCCAATGGAGAGGGAAGGCAGTAAAGATGGCCAAAAGGCCTCAGAAGGGAAACTTGATGAGTGAAATGGCATCGGAGCAACTAGAGTTTATAATACCTCTCGAAAAAATAAATACTGGCTTCACATAAAACAGACTGTTTGAGGGAGAGGCGACCTAAGTCTTTAGTCTCTTTTTTAAAGTTGATGAAATGGCAAAAAAAGAGAGAAAGCAGCCGTATTGAAGGGGTGAGGCGGAAAAGCTTTTGCAACAGGGATAATTTATTCAAGAGGTCAGGGCTTACCAGTGATTTATAATTCTCTGTCTGCTGATATACAGTCCATTTTTTGCAGTACGGTGCATCTATGGAACAAAAAAACGTCCCTACGGGTTTTTCTTGTGCTCCGCATCCCTCGCCAGTGAGACGTCTCCCAACGGAGACACCGGAGTCCACAAAACTCTTCTTCTTCTTCTTCTCTGTTTTGGCAATACCAAAGTTCAATCATTTTGACACAATCTGCTAAGCAAATTAAAGATTTTTTTCTTCTTTTTTTTGTTAATATAATGAAGCAGAGCAGACTTTGCCAGCAAACAATGAAAGGATTGAGTTGGCAAACGGTGAGATCAGTGTCGTTTTCATGATCAAACGGTTAGCTGGCTAACGGTGCGGATGGGAACGCTTCCAGAAGAGTGGGCTGTGATGTAGAGCAAGAGGCTCCTTTATGGGGAAATGGTACTCTTTGGAGCTAATCTGCATGGGATTTAGCACGGTACTAGAACCTATCTGTTAAGCCACACAGCAGCTCTGTTGGCTACACCGCCTGTATCAGAACTCAATTAAAATGATTCACTCCCCATGCAGTCCTAACAGCACTTCTTTGTGCCTCAGCTCCCTGTCTGTGTTTTTTTTTCTTCTTTCTTTCTTTCAGGTATGCTAAAATGCTATTAGCATTAACTCTTCTTCGGTGGTGGCAGACGTTTAATGGATAACTGCACCGTGTTCTCTTGGGAAATTTCTCAAATAAAACATAAAACTTAAAATGTGACAACCTAGAAATCAAAGTTAAGAGTGTCATGCAGTATGCTTTTTCCTACTGGTCTCGTATGTCTAATTTTAGGGCTAATTAACACGAGTCTCTACTTTTTTTCCCCACATATTACGCAGTCATTGTGCCAAGTGCTTTTCATAAAACTGTAGAGTGAATGTTTTAGTTTCTCACTTACTTTGAAATCTGTACTTCAAGCTGAAATGTTTCATGTGGAATTGCCTGACTCTTTTTTTTTTATGCTAACTCTTGAATTTCTTTGGGTTGCAGTTGCAGAAGAGAGAGCGCTCGTGTCGGTTTTATGTTCAGGTATTTGGACCAAATTTTATTCCTCACTTCCTGCTCTTCGTTTCCTCATTGTGGTAACTTGTGCTGTCGTTTTCCATTTTTAACCACAGAATGTGAAACTTGGCCTTTTGAAGTGGCGCCCAGTGCCACAGTATCAAAGTCACTACATGTGTGTGCCATGTGTCGCCTTTCCTTGCAACGCTTGTCTTAAATCAAAGGGTCAAATTTCATTTTTGTCATCGTGTCTCAACTTTTAGTTTATTATTCATATTTTTCACCCACCACCCTGCATGCATATGACATGTAATGATAGTTTCTTGGCACGAGCCTGAGAGTTCCTCTATTTTGAGATGCCGTAGATCCTTTGTGGATTTTCTCAAGTGTCTCAATCATTTTAAAAATTCCCCAGAACTATCATATCAGCACTGCTTTCCAGTGAAATAACCCACATAAGTGGAAAGCATCAGTCAAAAATAATGCTATCGGGCATGTAGCACATGCCTGCATCTCTCAGCAAAAGCTTAAGAGCCAAAAGAACTGACCTCATTATACCAACAAGTCAACTTCTAACTACTCTTCTAGCTACTAAGTCAGCCAAAGTTATGACATGTTATGATTCTGCATGATGCATAATACATATTTGTCCCAATTTGGGGGGTTGAGGGGTTCTCTTGCTTCTCTCAGCTGTTTCTCGGGCTACCGAGTGGGATTTGTTGTCCCTGAGGTGACTTTTTAGCTGCCATCAGGATAATTTCTACCTTGACAAGAGAACTATGGGAGAAGTTGACATCCCTGTCTTCATGCAGATGGTTTCAATTAAGCTGCACACTGCAGCCAGATGTTGTCTTTTTATATGTAGGCTCAGTAGCACGCATGCTAAGAAACATGTATTTCACACTGATCCCTCCGAGGCATGTCAGAAGGCATTTTGTTATTTATGGTTTTATATGGTTGAGTGTGCTCATATGTTTAAATGGGTTTCTGAGTGAAAGATGCTTTCAGCACAAATCAGGTGGTGTTCTGTTTTTCTTGTTGTCGACAGATGCCACAGGAGGACTAGAAATGCAACTATTGTCGGGTCTTTGTGTAGCCAAAGATCAGGGGCTCTCAAAGTTTTGATGTCTGAGTGCCAATTTAGAGAGCCAACATATGTATAATTGAAAAGAAATGCAGACATCAAAGACTTTGAGTTGGTATTTGTTGGGTTTCTCTTCAGGGGTTGAGGCTATAGGTTTGTAATTGCCATGTTTCTCTTTATGTTAGGTGGATGTTACATTTCTTGAAAATATAAGGAAGGTTTAGTCTGCTGTGATGGGTAGAAAAGAAATGCTCCCTTGAGCTTGTTATGTGCTGCTATATCATAGCAGAACAAGAACTGTGGCTGAGTGAAATGTACAATGGTCCATTCATTCCCTGTTGGAGTTAAGAGTGTCAACGCTGGGCCTTAAGTTGATAACCCTCAAGTGCCATAGACTAATATAATATCTTAAAATTAGAAAAACAAATTGTTGAGGGGCAGCATACCTCTTCATTTTGTTTCTTACTATAATGATCGTATCGTCTGTACTATATCCTCCAATTAGCCAATCTGAGACAAATATTTTATGAATATCACACGTATAGCGATTAACATCCATATTTAAGAAAACCCCAAATTATTTAGGTTTTTAATCCTTTTTGATTTTCGCATAAATTGGTGTTACAGTCTCTGCTTGGGCTCGTTTCGCGTGTCACGTTCAGCACATGTTGCTGGCATGTAACTTGGCGCTCAACAAACTTTGTGTCTGTGACTGAGTTTAGTTCAATACACCACAGAATACAAAATGAAATGAAAAAGTGCACCCAGATTTAAAAAACAGACTTTTTTTTTTTTACTCATCGTGAGTGCCTGAGCCCACGAGCTCAATAGGAAAGTGTTTACAAAGGTCAAGTCTAGGGCTTTCATGATTAAGGTTATAAAATGTTTTAGCGCAATCTTGGAGCGCAGAATGGACAAACTTTGGTCAAACTTCCTGAAATGCGTTGGCAGAGACATTTCAGGGATATTGACTCATTCTGCGCTCCAGATGGGTTAATTGCGTTAAAAACTGACGCAAACTAAACTGCGTTAGTCGTGATGACCCTAGTTAAGTCAGAAAGATATTTTCCCACAGACTTCTATAGGACCAGAAGTCTTTTTGTAACCATGACAATCACCATCTGTAGGACTTCAAACAGAACGGCGCTTCCCCATTGGCTTCATTTATCCGACCTGGACTGCATCCATGTTTCATGCTCTCTGCGGTGCCGCTAAAAACCAACAATGCCACCATCACCATGATTGGGTTCATGACTGTTGGCACAATATTTCATGCTAACAGTTACCCAGAGGCTCTACAGTGTAGACACAGCCTCAAGAATCTTTAAAACACGCACAGACATCATTATATACCGTCGAAGATTTGGCTTTCATGTTTTGGGCCATGTTTTCACCTTACAATGTAAATCTATACATGACTGTGCACACAGCCCAGCTGCGCACCTTCCTCCTCTGTTCCGTTCCTGTGCTATGTTGACAAATTCACACAACAGTGAGGCGCTTTCACTTGACGAACTGGAATAATGGAGCAACATCTGTGGCCTTAAGTAAACACAGGCATTGACTGCACGCGCTGGCAGCCTTTGAGAGACTTTCATTGATTAGGGAAATTGGGCAATGTTTTCTCCAACAGGACCCTGGTGGTTGACATAAGTGGGATTAGCAGAGGAATACAAAGCAAATGAGAGCTGCACCTGCCTCTGCTGTCCCTCTGCTCGGAGAACACGCGTGGCGCCGAAAACAGACTGTGACAGCGCCGTGGGAAAAGGCAGGCTGCGGGAGTGCAGGTGCGGCGGAGTCGAAGGAGGTGCAGAGTCCAAAATAAAGTGCAGGGCTTGTGGTTGATGTCTAAATTAGATAAGGAGTGATTATTTCCTTAATTGAGGGCTTCTATCTTGTTTAAGTGGTAAACAAGTAAATGACATTTTAATTCATCTCATCGCGAGGTCTTTATCTTCTTCAGCTCGTCAGAGAATTTCAGCGCGAAGCTACTGTATATTTGCCGTTTTAGTCGCATATTCATAACCAATTCAACCTGTGGCAATTTCCCTGCCTCAGCTGAGCTTGTGTAGATACAACAATGATTAATTATGAGTGCCTCTGTATCTTTCCCGCTTGTTTGTAAAGAGTCGTATCTGCTACATGTCATAGCCAATTTAATCCCACTGAACAGAATTTGGCCTTGATAGAGCTACAAAGCATAAAATGATCAACGCACTATGTTCTGCATTTCCCCTGCAGGGATGTTTCTCTGCTGTGCCCTTTGATTCTGCATAAACAGGATAAAAACGACGCCCTGCCTCCCTTGCCTTTTTGGTCATTACTAATGGCAGCGTGTCTATGGGCAGAGACGTTATGGTTGTCCAATTACTGTGATTATATCCGTCCATGTTGTTCTAATGTCAAACAAAGTTGCTTTGAAGGTTTTCTTCCTTTTTATTTATTTCGTTTTAAAGCGAGCGAACGACTGTGCGGGAGTTGAGGGATGTACAGCACGTGAAAATATCCCAAATAATGTCTCATACCTCAGTAGGAGCCAAGTGAGTGTGGATTTGCGCAATACAGGGAGGATGTTGCGCTCCGACCAGAGATAAACTGATGGCGTGAAAAGATGACAGAGGGGGGGCGGGGGAGTGTCGCAAAGCAGGATGACCTCAGAGCAGGCAGAAACACAGGGAGGATCCTTGTTCGGAAATGTAACGAGATGACAAAATGTTGGAAGATGAAGATTGCTACTTCCTCGGAAACAGAGGCCTCCACATCTGGCCTGCAGTGCAGAGCTCTCTCTCTGAATAATGAGGGCTTTCTCCTCACAGAGAGGAAGGTTCTGCTGATCAGTGTTGTGTAATAATTGAGAAAGTCCCGTGGTTATTTTTTGTGTGCGTGTATGCGTGTGTGTTGAGAGGATATCTGGGTTATCCATACACGTGTATGCATACACTGAAATTCTGGTGTTCTTTGGTAAAGTCGTTATAATTTTTAAGGCCTGAAAATGAAAATCTGAACACTTTGAACACAATTCATGATCGTTTTAGAGTGTCTAGTCTTGAATAAAGTTTTCTGTGTCTTGCTTTAAATTAAAAGGCGAAGCAACTTGTGGACCAAAGTGCCGTCTACTGCAGGTTCATTCAAATTAAATACAAATGTTTCGCAGTATTGTTCAGTAGAAGGCTTTTTGGAGGAATCTGTGCAGCAATGAATTTTTTTTCTGTAATGAGAAAAAAGAAAATCAGAAAATCTCACATTAGATTTTCTATCTGAGTTGTTTTAGCATGAATACAGCTGCTGTACAGTTGCCTGTGCAAGCCTCTTTGCAACCCACCTCCACCTAAGCTCCAATTTGCCATGTGATTTCGGATTTAGAGTCATGTCGCTGAAGCCTGCTCGGGGTTTAGTGCTGCTGTTCTCCCTGTTTTAGGCTTTCCATTAGGCCATGCTCATAACAATCTTCTTTTAACTGAAATGCAACCAAATAAGAAAATAACAGCATCACTTGTTGTATCACTGATTAACATCTATCCATTTTGTATCTCTTAGTGTAAGTCTTAAGGAGAGGATTGTTTTCTTCAGCTGTTGAGGTTAATAGAGTGTTTCTATCAAGACAGTAGTGAGATGAAACTTGAGACAGAAGGCAGAAATACAAAGGTAACCCCTCAGACACTCACCTACACAGAAGCAACCACCCACTTACTGAAGAAGGCTTGATAAAATATTAAAGCAGAAGGTTTCAGAGATTCTCAAAGAAGAGGGATGATATGGCTAGCAGCTAATATAGAACAGACAAGAAATGATGCTACAGCTTCATTTGAGCCCAGAGACAAGAAGTCAGATAGAAGATGACAGAGAGAACAAGGCATCCCACCTTGTTTATGTTCTTTCCCCCTACCATTTTGAGATCAGCCTTCAACGTCAGTGAGAGGAAACAAGCGAGAGGAACCAACTG